AGTGCTCTTTCCATGGGAAGCAACCCGCTGTCCAGATCCAAGTCTTTCACGTCAGTGGCTCGTTCCTCTTCAGGGATGGACGAAAGTACAGTTCTGCTATTACTAGTCCATTTTGTCAAATGGAACCCACCTTGGTTACAAAGCGCTCTGATGTCTCTTGCCAGAATGATTGCTTGTTCTTCAGTCACCACTGATTTAAGGCAATCATCAACGTAAAAATTCATCAAGAGGGTTTGAGCTGCTTCTGGAGTAGTGTCGTTGATTCCATCTTTTGCTGTTCTTTGAAGAGCGTAACAAGAACAACTCGGTGAAGAGGTTGCACCAAACAGGTGTACACGCATCCTGTACTCCTCTTCATCTTGATCCAGGTTGCCGTCCGGCCACCAGAGGAACCTCAGGAAATCTGCATCCTCAATGGGTACTCGAACCTGATAAAACATTGATTCGATATCAGCCATCATTGCGATCGGCTCTTCACGGAATCTGGACAACACCCCGATAAGCGTGTTGGTGAGGTTAGGCCCTTGAAGTAACTGACCATTTAAAGAAAATCCTTGGTAAGATGCATTACAGTCGAAGACAACGCAGATTTTCTTCTTCTTCTGATGATAAACCCCATGGTGAGGAATGTACCACACCCTTCCATCACCACGGTGCAAATTCTCGTCAAGTACTTTCTCAGCATACCCTTTCTCAATGATGTTGTTCATAAATCTGGTGTAGTCCTCATGGAATCCAGAATTCCTTTTGAGTATTTTCTGAAGACTCTTCAGACGCTGTTCCACTACATCCCGGTTGTTCGGCATCTTGAACATGTCATCTTTCAAAGGCAATCTCATGCAGTAGTGACCATCCAGGAGCTGAGTAGATTTGTTCACAGACTTCATGAACTGTCTGTCTTCTTGAGACATTTCAGAATTATCATCATAACGACATTCAGGAAAATCAAGATCAAACTGCTTCACTGGCAAATCTTCAATCTTCTCCACAGATATACGATTCACTGCATAAGGCCCATTACTTCTGCTATTTATCACCTTCCATGGTTCCATGGCCTTATGAGCGTTCACTCCAGTAAGTAGCCCTACTGCAGCCTTGATATTTGGAAGACAAACTTCATGCAGGTAAGGCCATTTCTCAATATCCTCCTGTTTAGGAATGTTCCCTTCTTTTACAGGCAATTGTCGCTGAGTCAAGACATTGGGTTCGATATAAGTATTCTCTTCTACACCACACACTTCTAAGTCAGACAGCAAGTATCCTCGCACCTTTCTTTGCTGACCCATAGTACAAAGTAGAAAATCAGTCCTCTTGCCCTGTATGTTCAGTTGATGCATGAGATCTTCTGTGCAAAAGGTGGTTGTGCTTCCTGGGTCTAGGAAAGCGTAAGTCTCTACTGGTTTTTCACTTTTCTTTGATTTCACCTTTACAGGTATAATGGAGAGGATGCACTCTCCATCCCCAGCCCCAGTATATCCACAAGTTTCCTGACCCAGTGAAAGAAGAGCATTTGAAACTGCTAAGTCATGGTCATCAGACTTTTGATCTCGGTTATCTTCATGTTTGACTATATGTAGGACACCTGGATGTTTTTGTGAGCAATTTGGACATGATATTTTCTTCTTACAATTTTTACTCATGTGTCCTTGTATTAGACAGCCAAAGCACAGACCTTTACTTTTAAGAAACTGAATTCTGTCTTTGTATTCCTGCTCCTTGAGCTTAATACAGGAATCCAGTGTGTGTTCCTTGTTACAGAACAAACAAGCCTTTTGGACTGCAGAATCCGATTTCTCTATGTTCTGTTTCTTCTGTAGTGAGTATTCTGCTTTGTCCTTGCCAGCTGGTGAAACATTTGTGGCAAAGATACTACCTTTGAAACCACTCTTCCTCGAATTCTTCCCCTCTGGCAAACTGGATTTTCCCTTTCTCTCTTCTTTAACATCCTGGATATCTCCAAAGAGCGGGTCATTCAAAATTTGAGCATTAAAGTCAATAAAGTTGACCAAATCTTCAAATGTGGCTCTTCTTCCATTTCATTGCTGGATATCAAAGGCGGTGTTTCTTCAACGTTCTCTGAATCTGAAAGGAAGTTTTGAAATGACTGTTCTCATGTTTGTTGGATTGTTCATCTCATCCATGAATTCAACATCAGCCATGGTATTTCTACATCCAATAAGGAATAAGGCATAGGTCTTCATTCCCTTACTGTCCTCTGCTTTGATTTGTGGCCATTTTAGAGCTTTCTCGAGGTAAGCTGTAACTATCTTCAGCTCATTGCCATAATGCTGCTGAAGGAGACATTTAGCTTCTTTATATCCCTTAGCAGGACTCATATGTCCACAGCTGCGAACAAGAGCTTGTGGTTCACCATTTGTGAACTGTTCAAGATAGTATAACCTGTCTTGTGGATTATTAGTCTTGTTCTCAATCGCGTGCTCAAATGCCCTTATGAAAGAAATATAGGCAAGAGGATCTCCAGAGAATATAGGTACATCTCTTTGAGGTAACTGGGATAAGCTCTGCTGCTTTATAAACAATTCCGTTATCTCATTTTGGCGTTGCATCACTTTGAACAGATATCTGTCATCATCAGTTGACTGTTGAGTGTTACTATGATCTGTGGTTTGTTGAGATGGTCTCTGGATAGAGCTGCAATCCTGGGTGCTTGACATAGGCTCAGACTTTATACACGGGTTAGATACTGGCTGAACTTGACGTTCCTTTCAGCTTTTTAATGAATCAACAGATTGTGACCCAGTCTGTGACCTGTAATAATCATTCATGCCATCTTGACCTTCTTCATACTCTTTTAACACTTTGAGTTCAGCATTTGATGCAGCAATTTCTATATCCAGTTCAAGCTGTTCTCTTTTGGCCTTCAATCTCAACTCTTGAGCCTCTAATTCTTGCCGCTTTCTTAAAGCAGATACCCTGGCTATAAGTGCTGCACGCTTAGCCTCTGCCTTGACATGAGCAGAACTGGTTGAAGATGCCACAGAACTACTTGTCACAGATCCACTTTTCCTTCTATCATGAGGAGCCATAACTTCTGACTTGGTTTAACACCATCGTCATCTTCATCTTGAGGGTCAAGCTTATCAGACTCGCTTCCTTTATTTGTGGTTGAAATCCATTTTTTCACATCAAACGTAAACTGCCAAAAATGTTCAATCTTGGGTTGAAACCAGTTAATCTGATCTTTTTCCCCATCTTCATCAGACAACATGAGTAACATTTCAGCATTCAACTCTTCAAACTGACATAATATCTGGCAAAAGACATTCAGTTCCTTTTCAACAGTTTTCACATCTTCTCTGTCTTGCATTAATCTGTCAATTTCCTTCATTTTGCGTGTTAACTGTGCCAGTTTCCCTTGTCTTTCGTTCGTAAGTCGATTCATTTTCTCTTCAGCTGCCTTTGCAGTAGTCGCCCTCTTGTGGCCATTCCCGGTACATTCGCATGCACATAATCATCCGCCATTCTACATAATTAGAAAGCAGATCTTCACGCACACCATCGCAGTTAAATTAAAGGGGGACCAAAAAGGCGCTAAAGACAGTCCAATAATAAAACAGAGCAAACCATTACAGAATGAACATGGGGGGTGTTTGACGAATATACATATAAATCCAAACACATTAAAATTATACCTACTCATGCACTTCTATCTTTAATGTTAAACTTAATTATTCAAATTATGGCTCTTACAATAACTCATTATGCTGTTACACTGTAACATGGGCACTGTAATGTGTAATGTAAGGTATGTTGTTTAACCAATGGCTTTTAACTGCCATATCCAGACCTGACCTCCTGAGATCAGAGATCATTCTCCCCAAGATGGACGCTGGCGTAATGCAGGTAACTGTCCCGCCATGTGCAAACCGAGGACCTACCTCACCTAACCGGGCCCGCAGGGTGAAAACTCGTCACCGGAGGAGCGGCAAGGGAAGCAGCGGGGATCTGTCAGGGCCTAAGCACCCTTCTGCCCCTGCTAACCGAGAAAGAGAGCCCCCGCTGCCCAACACAACGATGCCCGCACCGCCCCTCACTGAAACTGCTTCAGGGGCCGCGATGAGGGAGGGCCAGCTGGAGCCGCCCCCGCTGAAACTGTCCTCGTCCAGCCCAGATCTGCTCTGCTCCACCCACCGCGCTGAAGACGGAGTCAGTGGAGCTGCCACGACCGAAGCCCTGGGCAGAGAGCCCGGCGGTGAAGCTGAAGCGGGGGCCGGTCTGGATGAGACTCCACCCAGAAGCGACACGGCGAGTGAGGACGCCGCTTCACTGCCGTTCTCCAGCAGCCCTGATTCTCCCTGCTGTGGCAGAAGTGGAGCGGTGGGCAGAACTCATGTAGGAGAGGAGAGAGAAGAGGGAAGCGGGGCGGTGCGATTACCCAGAGGATCCAGCGGCAGTCATCTGACTCCATCAGCCATACTGTATCGAGCTGCTATCACACGCAAACAGGTACGCATCTCTCTATTTTCATTCTGGGAACCGACTGATTATAGTCTTATTTAAATAAAGGTGACTTGACTTAGCAAGGGAAGTTGCATTTCTTAAATCTCATAACTGGTCACCATTGCTTTTAAGTTTTTCACCATTTTCCCTCACCTTTTCTATCACTTCTCAATTAATATGAGCTCATTAAACTTGAATTAAAAAAAGTTTCATTAAGAGGTTCAGTTAGCATTTTAAACAACAGGACCATGCTTAAAGGGTTAGGTCACCTAAAAATGAAAATTAGGCTGTGTTTTACTCACCCTCAAGTCATCCTAGGTGTATATGACTTTCTTCTTTCAGACGAATCCAGTTGGAGTTATATTAAAAATTGTCTTTGATCCTTCAAGCTCTATCGTTGCACTCTTGCAGCGGGTGTTGCAATGCTTCTGTCCAAAAGACGTGAAATAAAAAGCACCCTTCCATAAAAAAAAAGTGTCTCACACTGCTCCGGGGGGTGAACAAAGGCCTCCTGTAGCGAATTGATGCGTTTTTGTAAGAAAAATATCCATATTCAAAACGTAATATTCACTTGAATCTAGCTTGCGCTCACTGTTGTAAAACAGAAGCAGTTCCGGGGGAATTACGTATGAGGTCAGCGTTGCACATGCGCCGCTCAGAAGTGACGCACGTGGAGAGATCGAAAACAAAACAACGGTCACTAATTAGAAGTACAAAACGATGATTTGTAAAGAAGAATGTCGGAGGATTTCGATATAAGCCAAGAGGAGACTGGTTTTCCTTTGCTAAAGTTAGGAAACTTAGCTTTTTTTGATCCTGTTAACAAACGTTGGTTTTCATGAGACTCACTGGCGCATGCTCCCGGAACTGCTTCTGTGTACAACTGCTGGCGCAAGCTAGATTAAAGTGATTATTACGTATTGAATATGGATATTTTTCTTACAAAAACGCATGGAAAGGTGCTTTTTATTTCACGTCTTTTGGACAGAAGCAATGCAACACCCGCTGAGTGCAACGATAGAGCGTGAAAGATCAAAGATAATTTTTAATATAACTCCGACTGGATTCGTCTGAAAGAAGAAAGTCATATACATCTAGGATGCATCGGGGGTCAGTAAAACGCAGCCTAATTTTCATTTTTGGGTGAACTAACCCTTTAACATGCCAACTACACATTTTGTATTTGTTATATTTAATTTAGTCACTTTCATAATAAAGCAATGATCCTCAAGAAGCCGTGGTTTACTCTTCTCCAAGTCATGCCTAACAACGCCCCTTAGCTGTTATAAATTCACTGTAAATCACGGCTTCACAGGGCTTATTGCTTTTATAAAATGGTTATTCCATATACGTAGCTGTCACGTCACGCTGTTGAGGAAGCACGCAGGAGGCACGAGTAAACAGTGTTACCAACTGCTTTCAATTGAAAGTAGCTAAAACTGGTAGCTAAATGTTACTAGATGACATCACAATGGCAAATTCACTGATCTATATAAAGATGAACGTAGATCAGTGGGCAAGATGAGAACTTTGATAAGGTTTGTCCAAGAAGTTGCTAGATTTGTCCCTAAACTTTTGAAAAAAGTCTCAAAAGGGGCGGGGAAGTTGCTAAATCTAGCTACACTGCCAACAGAGTAAACGAGAACTGTCTTTAATCAAGGAAACTCAGGAGATAATCCACAATAGGAGCTTGAGCAAACGGGGGGGGGGGGTCCAAGAGTCTGACATTAGCAAGGTTTCACAAAATAAAACAAAGCTAATAAAATGTAATGATATTAATAAAAACATTATTCTTCCGCCAAACAATGTAGTTCCTCAGAAACGGTTGTGTTTGCAACAAAGTGGTTGCCGAGCAACACACAGAAGTAAACAAAGGTGTATGTTTGTAGAGTAATTTACAGCAGCTTTGAACATGGCTCAACCAATCAGAATCAAGGACCAGAACTATCCGTTTTATAAAAAAGTATTCTTTGACAATAGAAGTGTTGAAATGAAGTAAATAAATGGCCTCCGATTGTATCTCCAGTAACTCTGGTGCAAATTAACCAAAAGAGAATATGATTTCATAAACTGTAAAGGGGGAGGCCTTACTTTGGACCACGGACACCCTATAACAATAAACTTCTGCTTAGTGATGATTGCTCAAAGAAGTCTAAACAGTGTTGCCAGGTCTGCGTAACAAAACTAGCCCAATGGTCAATCAAAAATAGCCCAATGACCATATTCCAAATATCAAAACTCAAAATCTGCAATTCCCATACCTAAAGTACATATTTTACAGTCACTGTTATGCAAATTGAAATCTATATTGCAGTGGCGAGCGGTGACTTTTTTAACTGGGTATGCTGAGTGCTAAGATTAAGACCAACCCCCTCCCCTCTCCCCCTCCTCATTGGCTTTTAGGACACACTTAAAGAGGGAAACACCATAGCAGGTGTCGATTTAAAAGGACTCACATTTCCTACCTTATTTGTAAATGAAATTCATCTCCAATCCTTCTTCTGTCATTTCAGGTTTATCCATAGTTAGCCTATTGGAATGCTAGATAAACATCTAACTGCTTTTCCAAGTAAAAACAGCCAAATAATGTTTACACGTAGTTATGTTATGATATGTAATATTCAGATGATGGGGAGATGGGGGAATCCCCCAGTCTGTATGTCTCTGCATCGAATAATTATTGTTATTATTTTATCCCACTCCCACCTACACTGTAAAAAATTGCTGTAAAAAACTGCCATATTCTGACAGTAACAGCAAAAAAAACTCATCCATGACTCCCAGCATGCATTGCGGCATGAATAAATGATGCAGCTGAATTGTCCACTTATGTTCTTTAATTCTTACTAGGTGCTTTTATTTTTGCTTTTGTTTTTGTGTTGAGTTTTAGTAGCGTGTTTTGTGATTTTCAGAGTCGATCTGTTTATTAATTTTTTGGATTGTCACCGTTGTTGAGATCCATACGCTGATTCTTCATGTGTGTGTTTCATAGCATATCAGTGCTTTTTTTTTTATTTTTTTGAGTGATGTGTGTGCTTTTTCATAATAGCACGCTTGTTATTTTGCTCTAGTATATTACTGCAACATCACTTTGGTACAAAAACAGACTCTGGACAAAATCAGTGAACCTGTTTTTTTTAAAGATGTCCTTTGCGAAGCATAACCATCAGCATTACATATTATGCTTTGGCCCTTTTTACAACAACAAATGTGTTAAAAACACAATAGTTAAAGCGGTCAAATAAAAATAATGCGCAACTAAAGCAAACACTAAACACTGATGTTCTGCTGCTTTATTTAAAGGCAGTAACTGTGGAGTTGCTGATACAGTAATGATCTCTTTGTTGTTTCATCTCACACATGTGTGCTATAGCTAACAGTGAACTGCAACGATTTGAGTTAAAGTCATGTTTTTTGTTATTTTGCTGTTACGCGTTTAGTGTTTGCAGTTTTATACTAAGAAATGTTCTTTCTCAGTGAACTCAAATGAAATACGTTCACAGTACTAATATCGTATGAACGCTAATTTAAAAAATTTTGGGAGTGGAGTTAATTTCCATGGTAGAATTACGAATGTATCGTTTCCTCCTTTTTTCCTGATGTTTGTTATTATTTAACATTTTATATACATTTTTATAAACTTTTTTTTATTTAACATTTTAACATTTGCTTTGCTTGAGAAAGCATGAAAATATACAATTACTTAGTTTTTTCACTTGATTTAGTTGAGTTGGTTTTGCATCAAACACAATTTTTGGCAATCGAGATCTGGCAGCAACAGCGCATCTTTCCGTTTGAGCAAGCGCTTCGCGGACAGCTTACCCCGCGCAAGAAATCACGTGCATGCCAGCAAAACACTGAGAATGCCACACACACACACATATATACATATATATATATATATATATATATATATATATAGTCAGGTTGGCTTTGCTAGTGCAGGACTGTAAAACCCTTGGATGCAAGTATACACAACACAGACTGAACGGCACATATAATTGTACAGTACATGTACATGATTTATGATACGGAGATACCTGTTCCAACTGTCTGCTCTCCTCTTACCTCTCAGATTATCTTTCAGTACTTTTTCTTTCATAGGGACATGCAATATGTACATTTCAACCTAATCTGAAGAAAGCACTTTTATTTTCTGCACTGTAAAAATAAAGTAAAACGAATAAATGACAATAATTTAATGTATATGAATTTTAGCTTGCCAGATGTAGGTCTGAGAAGGGTAAATTCCCGAAGAACAAATGCATGATATACATTTGTATTTTAATTTTTAAATCAATTGTTTTTATACATCTAAAAAAATGTTTGCACCTTTTTTACCTTGAATGTGTAATACTATTGTGTTGCTTGTAGGCACTTTACAGTAGGATGTTTATATACATGGACATGATCACTTTCTCATGTTGCACTGAAAATTTATTTATGATAATGATGATGGTTCAATAGATGCAAATCGTCTCTAGGTTACGTATGTAACCATGGTTCCCAGAGGAAACGAGGCTCGCTTTGGGAACGCCCCTGTGTTCTGAAGCACGTGTACAATCAGCATATTAAGCCTTTCTTGGCCTACTTCCTGGAACGGAGGAGGACAGAATGCCTGAAGTACTATGGCCCCTGGTGAAGAAGTGGGTACCTTAGGGACATACCTGACCCTTGGATAAAGGAATGTCCTAACCATGCCTGGAGCAAATTCCAGGCATGAAACAGAAAGCGCCTGAAGATCCCCGATCCTTTTAAGTGAGGAAATAGCGAGGAGAAAGATGGTCTTGAGCGAGTGATAAGTGGGTGTTTTCCCAATGATTGACCACCCAGAAGGGCGTGGTAAGCAGCTAAGGCCGCCAAGTATACTTTCAGAGTGGAGGGAGATAACCCTGCTGAGAATTGCTCCTGCAGAAACTCCAGAACTGTATTGGGCAGTTGACTGGGTCTTGCAGTTGCTGTCCGCACCATGAAGCTAAAAGTTTCCACTTCACTAGTTTCCTAGTGGCGGGAGCTCTGGACTGGAGTATAGGCTCAACAACCTCAGTTGAGAGACCAGATGCTAGGAGCTGTGCCCCCTCAGGGGCCACACCCACAACTTCCATAACTCTGGGCGGGGGTGAAGAATGGTGCCCCCCGCCTGAGAGAGGAGGTCCCCAGTGGAGCTGGATATGCGTGAGGGAGAACCAGAGCGGACAGTGTTTAGTTTCCTGCGACGCAAATAGATCCACTTCCGCCTGGCCAAATTCCCTCCAGAGGAGCTCCACCACCTCGGGGTGGAGTCTCCATCCCCCGGGTCTCAGCCCCTGTCTCGACAGGATATCTGCCCCCTGATTGAGATACGCAGGGATGTAGACTGCTCTTAGAGAGAGGAGCTTCCCCTGAGCCCACAGAAGGATCTGGCGCGCCAGCTTGTACAAGGGGCGCAAACGCAGACCCCCCTACCGATTGATGTAGGAGACCACCGATGTGTTGTCTTTGAGGACAAGCACATGATGCCCCCTTAGGTCTGGAAGGAAGTGTGTCAGAGCTCGAAACACAGCCAGCATCTCCAGGCAGTTGATGTGCCAAGAGAGATGATGGCCTTCCCACAGACCCTGGGCAGAGCGGCCACTCATGACCGCCCCCCAGCCCATGAGGGAGGCATCCATCGTTAGCATTACATGACAACAAGGAGCCCCTAACATCGGGCCTTGAACCAGGAACCAACGTTTCTTCCACATGTCCAAGGCACATAAGCATCGCCACGTGACCTTGATCATGCGAAGTGGATTCCCCCTCGGGGAAAATCCCTTGGTTCTGAGCCACCACTGCAAGGGTCTCATGTACAGCAGGCCAAAAGGTATAACATTGAACGCTGCTGCCATAAGGCCCAACAGCCTTTGAAACTGTTTCACAGTGAGTGACTGGCCTTCTCTTACTCTCCTGACTGTCGTGAGGATTGACTCGATACGAGCAGGAAACAAACGTGCCTGCATCGAGATTGAGTCCCACACCATGCCTAAATAAGTGGTTCTCTGTAGTGGAGAATGCACACTTTTCTTGGTGTTTAGTCTTAACCCCAGCTCTCTCATATGGGCGAGGACGACATCTCGATGCCAAGCCGCCATCTGCTCCGATTGAGCTAGTATTAACCAATAGTCGATGTAATTGAGTATGCGGATGCCCTGGAGTCGCAGAGGAGCCAGAGCAGCATCCATACACTTCGTGAAAGTGCGGGGTGAGAGTGACAGGTCGAAGAGAAGAACTTGATATTGGTATGCTTCGCCCCCGAAAGCAAACCTCAGGAACTTCCAGTGTTGAGGAAGGATGGAAACATGGAAATAAGCGTCTGTGAGATCTATCGTTACAAACCAGTCCTCGGACTGGATTTGAGATACTATCTGCTTGATAGTGAGCATCTTGAACCAAAGCCGTTTGATAGCGCGGTTTAGAAGACAGAGATCTAAGATCGGACGCAACCCCCCATACTACTTCGGAATGATGAAGTAACGGCTGTAGAACCCGGACACTCTCGAGAGAGGTGGAACACGTTCTATGGCCCCCTTCCTCAAGATAGTATCTACTTCTTGTTCCATTGCCAGACCCTGCTTGGGGCCCACTAGTATGGGGATGACCCCGTTGAAATGAGGCGGACGAGAACCGAACTGATTCTGTAACCTTTCTCTACAATCTGCAGGACCCATTTTGAGACATTTGGTAGAAGTTTCCACGCTGCCAAAAAATCTACTAAGGGAACAAGCCTCTCGAGGCTGGCCTCTGGTGTTATTAGAGGAGCCAGTACGGTGCCCTGAAGCGAATGACCGGCAGGGAACGACCGACCTTACTGCTGTTGCACCCTCACTCAAGGGGGCGAGCTCTCCCGTGCCGTACCGTAGCCGGGCGGCAGGTGAGAATTTTGCTCGTCGGAGCTCACTGAGCCCTGAAGCACCGAGGGTGGCAGGGGTATCCGTCAGGATCGGGCACCGTATACTGAGGTGTTATCCTTTCCTCCACAGGTGGGGCTGCCCTCAGGGGCCTGACGATGGTGGCGTCAGGACCACTTAGTCGAGGTCCTCTTCGACAAAATAACGGTCCGCAGATCCATCTTACTGAGAGCGCCGCCCCGACCCCCATTCTTTCTGCGGAGGGGTGCGGGTTGCAATGCTCTGTTTTTGAGACTGGCGGTATGAGGAGCTTGATGGCTAGGGCTGCTCCCGCTCAGCAGCCCCATGGGCCTGGGAGCGACGAGGGAGGAAACGTTGAAATGCCGCTTGCTTCCTCGCCTCCTGAAACCTCTCGACGACAGTGTTGACTGCATCCCCGAAAAGGCCAGAGGGCGAGAGCGGGGCATCTAGGAGGAAGAATCTGTCCTTATCTTGCATATTGGACAGATTCAACCACAGATGCCGCCCCGTGGCCACCATTGGTGCCATTGAATGGCCGATGGCTCTGGCCTTTCTTTGTTGGCTCGGAGGAACAAATCTGTGTCCCGACGCAGTTCATCTACCACGTCGGATTCCTCCTCCCCCTTGTCATCCAAGTCCCTGAGCAGGTCAGCCTGGTATCACCGCCAGCTTGTAACACCGCCATGGTGTGCAAACATGACCTGCCGCCGTATAAGCTTTCCCAACCAGACTAGATGTCAGCCTAATGGACCTAGTGGGAAGCTTCGGGGCCTTCAGGGACGATGCTGAGGATGGGGAGAGATAGCTCGCAAGTCCACCATTGGCATCGCCCCATATCCCTTCTCATTCAGCCCCACGATGTTGGAATAATGTGGGGCTGTAGATACGGGATGAATACGGTTTCTCCCACAATCTTGACACCTCGGCATGAAGATCGGGGGGGGAAAAAGGCCCCGTCGTGAAGGCTGTGTGTAACAAAGTTCGTAGTCACGGGAAAAAGGAGACGGGAACCGGCGAACATTTAAACAAAACTTTAATCAAATAAACAAACCCAAAATAAAAGTAATGCGGCAGCCCCTCACGGACGACTGCCACACACAAAACACAAAATAAAGTCCAGGCCTGGTCCTTTCTCATCCAACAATGTCGTCACTCCTCCTTTTTATCCTTCCGGAGCTCCTCCGTGGGACTCGAGACCGGTGAGTGGCGCAGGTGTCGTGCATTAGCATTTACTCCACCGGCCTCACTCCGTTCCCACGGCTCTCGGCCCCGCCCCTCACGTCACACTGTGATCTAGCTCTCAGGAAATGCTCATCTAATTTGCTTTTAGGATGAGCGTCCTGTTTCTGGCTGGCCAATCGATATTTAATTTGGCTACAGCACGAGTCACAACCTCCACGAGCTCCTCATACGTGAGAGAATGTGGTGGCGAGTCCACAGTCTTCTCTGTCTCGACACTCATCACATCCAACTCCTCGGAGAAAGACAGAAGAAGTGTCTGGCTCTCTCTCCAGGGGGAAGAAACCGCAGCACAGGCTTTCCAAACCCTGAGAGGGAGCCGCGGATCTAGTGGGTGAGGACCGAGAAAAGGACAAGCCTGTCTCGGATCCCTCTGCTAAATCCACTTGCGATCCCAATGACAACAGTCTATACTATGCTGCGAGCGGGATCGCGAGCCTGGCCGCTCTTATCAAACACGGCCAGGCGAGAGCAACTCGCAGTCATGACAATCAGCTCCCTCGAGAGCTGATCGTGCATGCTCCGCTCCTAAACAAATCACACACAGATCGTGTGAATCCCCCGCCACCAGATATCGTGGGCAGGGAGAAACACAACATTTGTAATGCCGTTCGCTCGCCATAGACTGACTTTGCTTTTTTTGACATGATATGAATGCTTGTGCTGACAGACAACAATAAATAGACCTGACACATACACAGAGCGCTACTGAAGAGCAGAAGCTGACTTGCGCTTTTATACTTTCTGGTGCTTATGTCACCCCGCCGTGACGTCTCGCTGCTCCATTGGGCTGATTGTACACGTGCTTCAGAATGCGGTCACGCAGGGGCGTTCCCAAAGCAATTCTCGACACAGCTCGAGTTCTTGAAGGGGAACTCCAGTTTCAAGAGTATGTATGTTAAGACAACCATTTAAAACTTTTTTGAAGTTGATTATGATGTTAAAAATCTTCTGGGCTGTGTTTCCCAAAAGCATTATAATCTTAAGTAGGTCGTAGAACCATTGCCACCAATGGATGAGTATTCAACAACTACTAAATGAATACAGTGAATGAAAAAGGAATAAAGTGCATGAGATGCATAAAATGCCAGTGATTAAGTTGTGTGTTGCTATGGCAGAGTTATGTTATCTTATGGGAAGATAAACTATTGCTTGTCTGAAAAAAATAAGGTGAAGAACCAAACAAATCAAATAAACAAAAGATTATTTGTTCTTAACTGATATATAACATTTAATTTATATGATCAGTATATGAATTTCAAATTTACATCAATGCCAAGGTCTCTGGAAAGAGGTTTGGATAAATTATATTTACATTGTTTGTAGTTGAGTGAGCACTCCAGTGGCAGTGACTTCTTGATTATACGTCTTCTGCCTCTCTGGGCCAGAGACTCAGAACTTGGTCAATCCACTTTGTCTGTATAGGTTGGAGACACGGTACATGCTGCATCTGTTGTTGTCTCACTGGACAAAGACTTTGAACTCAAGGCATTTGTTGGAGGCTCAGAACGTGGTCATATCTGTTGTTACCTCAAAACCTGGAGACTCTAAGCATAGTTTTTCTGTTAGGGTACTTTCACACCAAATCAGAGTTCAGTTGTTCCCTCCTCCCACTGCCCCCACTTGTTTTTGGTGCCAAACCACAATACGTTTGCGTCATCAGAGTGGCAGCTGTTTACCCCGGTTACTAAGTAACTGTCGTGAAACTGCACTGGGACACAAAGCTTGGGGATCCAGATGCAATGTTTATTGAAGTGGTAATCAACAAACATAATCCAAAGGCAGGCAAAGGTCATACACAATAAACAATCCAAAACAACAACAGAGTAAGGGGCTGAGGCAAAAAGAGTAATCTGGAAAACAGGCAGAATAACAAGACCAGGAACCAAGACATGGCAGTAATGACACATACAAGACTTGGACACATACAATGGATGACTGCGTTAATCAGGCTTTTATAGGGTGAGCTAACAGGGTAAATGAGACACAGGGGAATGCAATCAGTGATGATGAGTCCAGGCAAAGGATTATGGGAAATGAAGTGACCGTGAGGGAGGCAGAGTGGAGGTGGAATAGGGGGAGGGATGGAGGGCCAGGTCCATGGAGTGGAAGAACTGGAGACATGGGTAGAACAGGAAGCCAAGGCAGAGCCAGAGGAGCAGGAGGTCAGGGCAGGGCAGGCTGCCAAAGACCACCAGGGCTGAGCAGAAAAACACTGGGGTGAAGCAGGTGGAGCTGAAGACCACCAAGCAGAGCAAATGGGTCTGAAGACCCCCAAGGCAGATCAGGAATAATTGAAAACCACTACGGTGGATCGGAAGGCCACAAAGGCAGAGCATACAGAACTGCAACAGAAAGCACAGAGAGGTTAGAAACAGCTCCTGAGTCCATAACAGGACACTAAGGGAGTTCAGGAACGAAGTTTCATGGTCGTGTCACGAAAGGCTAAGTGCTCAGGGACTGCCTCCATGGCCATGGATTCCATCACCTCAGAAGTGTGCATGGCCCAGACACACAAAATTGCGACCGCCATTACAGGAAGGGCAGCGGAAGGTGCGAGAACCTCTGAGATTGCCAGGCTTGAGAACGCTGTGGAGCTGGGGATGCCGTCCACCCGTACCAACATTAGTGGTGGGTCCGCCAAACTGGAAGCCAGCCTCAAACGCCTATGGAATGCCTTGGTGTCTTCAAATGCAACATTTGTGATGACTGGGAACACTGGAGTGGCTTCCGTGATGGCTGAAGACTGTGGTGTCACATCCATGATGGCTGGAGGCTCTGGAGTGGCATCCATCTTGTGAAGAGGCTCTGGTGTGGAGATAAATAGACTGGAAGGTACTGAGAGTACAAGACTAGCGACCATCAGAACTGTATGCTGGTGACTGTGATATGACAAGCTCCATGGCCACTGGAGCTTGGTGTTTGGTGTGTGGTGTGTGCTGCCCCCCCCACCCCACAGGTGAATGCAATCAGTGATGATGAGTGAGTGAGCAGTGTATTATGTCCAGTGAGATGGCAAAGGATTATGGGAAATTAAGTCCAAGACTCATTGACAGAGGTACTATATGGGATGGAGTGCCCTCTGGTGGCTATCATGGTGATTGTGACCGTAACGACCAATGTTCCCTCTAAGCTGCACGCATGCACGGCCACACACTTCTTACGTCTCAACCACGCAGAAGAAATAATATGCCGCGCACAAGCAAAAATTAGTTGGGAAAACCACTTAATTGAATTCTAGTAAATGCTAAATAATTCTCGGCCAAACTGCTACAGTATAGAGTTGGTGTCACTGTAACCAGTAAATGCGGTTTACAGGTTTCATAGAAAGAGAATGATGTGTGTCAAATGAGGTGCTGTAGACATACGTTAATGGTTGCAGACGAAATATCTCAACACGAGAGCAAACGCAATGACAGGTGAAATAAATCATTAAAAATGTTTTAAAGAAAAGTGGCTTGATTAAGTGGTGGATATTATATTATATTATATTTAGGGCTGTCAGTTTAACATGTTAACTTAAAGGGGACCTATTATGCAAAAATCACTTTTATAAGGTGTTTGAACACAGTTGTGTGGCTGCAGTGTCTGGAAACAACCAGCCTATAATGGTAAAAATCCACCCACTCATTCTTTTTATAATCTCAATAAAACATAAACAGTCTCTCAGAACAAGCGATTCCAGATTTCTCCCTTGGTACATGTCACCATAGGGAAAAAGTCTCGCCCATTTGTGAAGCTCTCTGCCCTATTAGCATAGACACAGGCCTGAGTGAGAAGCAGCGGTCCGCCATTACTGGAGATATACAATTCCAGCACCAAAGAGTCAATACAAGTGTTGTGTTTTGCGATGCAGCAATGAACATAGGAGCTCCATAGACTCCCTCCATCTGAGCCGCTAAGGACACTGTGGTTTGGTTTCATTTTCAAAGGAAATGTTCGAAAAAAATTTATAAAGTCATGCCAATCATTCTACACCGGACTGCATCACAAACAAGGGTCAATTCAATGCTGGATTTTTAGTCTGATTCTGAAAGAGGGATCAATACCAACGTTTCGTGCGCGAACGTCAGATCTAGACAAAGTAAGCGCTTCATATTTTGTTTTCAAATTGCCTTTCTGAAAGAGCTTCTTGGCACTCTGTGAGGCTAATGTTACTAAAGCTACCATCGCCTCTCCCTGTTTTCACTGATGCTGCCTTCAC